AAGCATCCACACATGCACGCAAGCATCCACACACACGCACACACACAATTGGGCCATGGCCCAATGGCTTTCAATCCATCTTTTGTTTTATTTTGTATCCAATTCCCAACAATACCAATGAACCGATCTTCTTGAATACGAAGAAAATACCGATCAAAGTGTTCAGAAAGCGTGAGAAGCGTAGGGATGTCCAATCCAAAACTTGCACTGTGCTGCACTGAAAAAACTTTTGCCGAGGAAAAACCCCTACAAATTAGGCCCCAAGACATGACTATGTTTCTAGAGTGAGATGTTTGGCCAGTGCCTATGGATATAACGAGAATTTTATATTGTTGGAGAGGTATACAGAACCCATTGATCTCCTCGTCTATCGCAAAATGAGTATGTAATTGAATTAAAAATTGGTAGAAAATCAGAATTATCAAAAAATAATTATTAATAAAAAAATAGAAGGAAAAAATAATTAATTAACAGATACTTTATCAGAAGTCCATCATCCCTACAATATTACTCCCTCACTTTTTTCTTATTGGTATCGTGATTTGTGAAACAATGAAAAGGAAAATAGGTGGGTGCTGCCGATGTCGATACTGCATATCAAAAAAATCAGCATTCAATAACTTGTCTTCGTGTTGCTGTAAATAGTCCATCGTGATGCTCTCATTGGGCATCGTCAGCATGACCGTAAATAGACCATCAGTACAGGTTCCAACAACAACGTCGAAATAATCCGCGATTCTAATGCCAGCCCCATCAAGTTTCTTAGTCCGATCCAAAGTTAAATATTGTAAAAGCTATTTGTGTTTTGTAGTTCAATAAATAGTATATATTATACAAAACAGTAAATGATTACTAAACTAACTAAAATTTATGTTGGAAAACTAATCTGGTAGATTACACCTAACTCAACCTTAACGACATATATCTGTAAATCTTATTTCAAGAATGAGAGGATGGTGTCTGGAATAAGTCCTCTAATATCGTTGCCGACAATATTGAGAACTGTAACGTAGTTCTCCTTTCTAAGTCTTTCCCACAAAAGAATTTGTTATCTCTATAACTTCTAAGATTTTATCTCCTCAATAATTTCAAAAGAACTCGTCATTCGTGCCTTTTGTAATAATAGTAATTTCGGGAGACAGAGGTAAAAAGTAGTTTGGACGTTGTATTTACAATAAACGCACCAGACAATAATGGGTAAAAGAAAGATTTTTTAGAAAAAGGAAAAATTATAGGAATCAAGAGTTATTTTCTTAATAATTATTTTATTTTAATTTTGGTAACGCCATCTTAAAAAAAATCTATTTTAATCTATAAATTTTCAATTTTTGTTTATTTTAGTTCGTATACTTATAGTTTTAAAAATGGATCGTTTTAGTCCATTTATTTTTATTTTTATCTAATTTCTTTTAATCATAATTTTAGCGTGATACTTTACTCAATAATTTTTTGTTGAATTGTAGTCATAATTTTGTATTAAACGATTACTATTGTATATGAAAGATGTGTTATGATTTAGGGGATCGAATTGGTCCCATTTTGAATGAACATGAATTTGAAAAATGTTTTGAATGTATAATTACTAAAATGGAAATTTTTTTTGGAAAGCATATAAACTAAAATGAACATTTTAAAAGTATATGTACTAAAATGAAGTAAATTCAAAAGTACGAGAATAAAAATAATACTTAAACCTATAACTTATAATCTTCAACGTCTAGGAGACTAAGGACCCAATTTCGTCCCCACCATTCTTTAGTTGTATTAATTAAAAGTTTGATATTTTATGGATTAGATTATTATATTTTATCTCCAATCATATGTGAAGATTATATTTTAATTCTAGAAGGAAGATAAAAACTATAACATAAACCTTTAAAGAAGTTCTAAATATAACATTATATAATTAAAATGTGTTAATTTAATGGAAACGTCACTGTGTGATTTTAAAATAATAAAATATTTTATATACAATATCAACAGTATAATAATAACCTTGCATTTGGAATATCATATGATAACATTGGTTTTTTTTACTTCACAAAATTGATGTGCAATTTCAAAAATCTTATCGAGCAAAATTATCGTTTGAAAGAATATAAATATTGAAATATATATTTAATTTTATATACTTTACGTGATCACTCATTGCATTATATATTAATAATTAATGTATGGGTTCACATTGGACGTAATGGGTAGATTATAAATTTGTGTATAATACTTTTTTAAGTTTTAAATTCAATTGATAATTGTCAGACACGTCAAAGTTTAACGGGAAGGTATATAGAGGAAGATTTTAATTTTTCAAGGAAAAAAAAGACAATTGGGTTGGCCCTCAGATCGGGCTTGGATGGGCCTGACTGTCAGAATTAGGCCCAGCAAGAAAAATGGGCACGCCAAGTCTCCTCTACTTCAGAAATTTGTTGAAATCTTATAATATGGATTAGAAATTTTGAAGAGCCGAAAAAGAAAATTAGCGCGATCATCAAGCTCAACATCGGCGGAATGGTAAGAAATCTCGTAGCGCGGTGGCGCGTACTCCGACGTGTTCTCGACGACGGCCGACGGCTAGGTTCATGTTATCGAAATTATTCCGTTCTTAATCGCTCTGAAACAATTATTGGAAGTAGGTCATCGTCTTCGTTGCCAAAGTTGCCCTTCAGCTCCTCCTCTTCCAACGCGCCGGACTTTCATTTCCCGACTCCGTCTTTCCAGCACCGTCGACCGATATGCTCAGCGTCAGGTTCTGCATTTCTCATCGTTCCCCATTTTTTCCCTCTTTAAGCGCCGTCTGGCACTGCGATTGTTTGTTACTGCTGAATTCTGAGAATGTTGTATTTATTGTGTTCATCTACTACGTATGTATATATACTGTACATAGGCGTTACTGTTGGTTAAGCAGTTAGAAAATTTGGAGTATAATATGTACTTATTGATTCTCATGGTGAATTGCTCAGTAAAGGAGCCAGAGCCAGTGGACGTAGGTCTTTATTTATCAAACCTTCATAAATCTTTCTCGTTTTGCTTTCGTCTGGAGCGTGAGATTTGAATACTGCTACTTTTTATTTGTATTTTACGGTTCAACGACTGTAATTATGTGTGATACGGTTCTTTTCTTTTCTTTTTCTTTTTTTTTGAAAGAAACAATTTTATTGATGTATGAAATTACAATCTCGAGAGGGTATACAAAAGACCATAGATGGGTTACATAAGGTACTTACAATTATATAAGAATTATACAAGAGGGAAGCGTAGCTATAATAATGAAAAGTAGGAGAGGTTTTACATCAAGAGATAGCTTTATACACTATAGCATCAAAAAAACGGTCAAAGGATTGTGTCTTGTTATTGAAGGTCCTTTGATTTCGTTCACCCCAGGTAGTCCAAAGAAAAGCTCGAATGAAATTTGTCCATAGCTGTTCCTTTTCGTTCTTGAAGGGGTGTCTGTTTAGGGTGGCCTCAAGGAGAAGTTGGGGGTCGTTAGGCAAAGCTGTGGACCAACCAAAAGTTCTGAGAATATCCTTCCAAAAATCAGAACCAAAGGTGCAGGCGGTAAAGAGATGCTGTTGGGATTCCAAACTGTTTTTGCAAATGATACACCACTGTGGAGAAATAGCCATGTAGGGGAGTCTTCTTTGTAACTTATCATTGGTATTGATGACACAGTGACTAAGCTACCAAAGAAAGAAGTTCACTTTTATTGGGCACTTGGCCTTCCAGATAGTGTTTTAGAGGCTGTTTTGGGACACTTTGTTGCTGTGTGCGAGGTCCTTTGTGAGGGCGCTGGTGGAAAAAGATCGATTTGCTTCTAGCGGTTCTTCTCAATTAGGCATTAGCTATGAATTATGTACTTCTTCGTCAACGACCTTACAATATGTGATAATATTTGATGGTTTAATATTATGATTTCAGATCCTTCGAACATTGTCTTGATAACGTCTGAAGATCAATTCAACAAGGCACTTAGAAAAGCACGAGGTATATCCCCTTTAGCAACATCATTTTCATAAAAAATTTCTTGCTTTGCCTTTTCAGATGCTTAATACTGCTGGATATTTTGTTTCCTGGCCAAAAACTCACTGTAGATGAAGCTTTGCCTGCAATTTTCTATTTCACTGCTGCCTGGTGTGGTCCTTGTGAGTTTCAAATCAATTTTACATTTGGCGACTTTATTTGTTTTGGTCTAAATTTGTTTCCATACTCCTGGAGTTTTTTCTTTTGAATGATACAAATATACGGCTCTTAATCTGTTTTATTTCTACATTTGCAGGCAGATTGGTATCTCCTGTGATTAAAGAATTGAGTAAGGACCACCCTCAAGTGACAACATATAAAATTGACATTGACCAGGTAGGTAGATAATGTTATGGGGTTGGTAGTTTTTATTTCTTTCTTTTTCTTTTCCCAATGTTAAACCGGCTTTCCTTAAATTGTGTCACCTTCATTTGAATGATTACCCAACTGATTATCCAGGTTTATTGTGTTTTGTTAGACTTGTTTGATTTACTGGTTATATGTTTTAAGTTCTGATCTTGTGAAAAATCCAACTGATTGTTTACGCTAACGGTCATGAGAAAAGGGATCATAGATAGGTTAGCACTAATCTTCAAATTTCATAAACGGAAAAGTCGTTGTTTGGTCCTGCTTACATGGGATGGGAAGATCAACACTCGTCCAAATTCAAAGGAAAAACTCCAATTTAACCTTATACCTGAACTGGTGCAGCCCATGCAATAAGAACAGTGAGGATGAATAGCACCTTCTGTATTGTGAGCTTTTGAAGGGAGATCAAGGGGAATTTTTGATTTGGTATAATTGGAGAACAATTTGGAATTTCTGCAATGCCTGTTAGGTCATGGCTTGAAGGGCAATTCAAAATTTTTGTAAATTGATGCCTGCTGCGGATCTGTGTGGATGATTTGGTTGGAGAGGAAGAGGAGGTTTTTGAGGATCCATATAAAGGACATTTTAGTTGGAAAGGACACCATTTTCTTGCTACCTTTTAGATGAAGTTCCTATTCAATATTTTTTTTAATGCACAATTATTCTCCTCTTATCATCCCTGCTTCGTACAAAATATGAACCGTTTCACACGTATTTTTGCATAGTTGTTTCTCCATATGCACTCGTGCTTAATGCTTTATTTCTCCAAAACAGCATTCATGCTGCAGCTGCCTTATGATTAATGTCGATCATGTCTTCATCTTCTCATTCACTGAAAATTGGTTGTAATAAAATTCTTATTCCTTTTACAGGAGGGCCTTGTAAGAACTTTGAACGAGTTAAATATTACCTCTGTGGTAAGTGTCTCGGCTCTTGTAATTTGCTACAACCCTGTTATAACTATAAGTTTCGTGAATTGCTCCGTTGAGCAAGAATTTTCATTTTTTGTGCGTAATTTCAACTGTATCATTGTATGCTTTCTTATAAGTTTCGTGAATTGCTCTGTTGATCATAAAATTTTGCAAAGGGGGCTGAGTTTCTATTTGAGCCCCCTTTGCAAAATTTTATGATCTTATGTGATTATACATAGTCCTTGTCTATGATGTCTAAGAATGTTGAGTGCCTGGTATCTGTGATAGGTTGTTTTAAACCGCCTCCCATTATGAATGCAGTTTTATATTAAAGCCTAAAGGTTTTAGTTCGTCGCAATCTCAACCCTGAAATTAATTTGTGATTCTTGTCATTGAGAAAACAAACTATTTTCAATATGAAAGCAAAGTCTAAACTTAAACCAGAAGTTTCCAATCCAACTGATACGTTAACATAAAGGAGCCTTGAATCTAATTTACAAGTGTTGGAAGCATTTGGGTAAGGAATACAAACACACACATCATTCTACAAATGAGCTCATTTCTAAGCAAAATGAGTGAAGTGTGATGATGAGTTTAAAAGTTTCGAATATTTGAACATACATAAACATATGCTGACTTTTGTGTTGGGCAACAGCCGACATTTCATTTCTTTCAGAGTGGAAAAAAGGCTGGGGAGATAATCGGTGCAGATGTTGCAGGCATCAAGAATATCGTGGAGAAGCTTTACAAATGACCTCACGAATTTTGCTGCTCTACCCATTTTCAAGCATGTTTTCAATTTGACTCAGTTTCTGGAGCCACACCTACTCATGTTATGTAGTGTTCTGAAATTTGATAGCCATCGGAATGCGATGACAAACATCGTATGGTTTTTTTTTTTTTTTTTTTTTTTTTAAGGTTGTCGGTTTATTATTTAAACTGTCGTTCCATGTGATGATCAGAATAAGAATCTTTTTGCTGGATGCAATCCATGAAAAACTGATATAGAATTGTCATCCTGAACTCAAAACTTTTTAAGTTTTAATTCACATTCCCACAATTATTTTTCTTTTCTTCTCATAATTGGGAGTCCAACTTTATCCCCTATTAATAGGCTCATTCCCATAGTCTTAAACTCATATATTATTATTATTATTTTTGTATGGAAATTTGCATGGAGTGGTTATTTAAGGTACATTTGAAGATTGTTCTTTCTAATTTATATCATAGATATTAGATTCTACTTTTATTTATATTAATTATGATATAAGTGTTATAATACATCCATGATCGAACAACGTTTTTAGCATGCATTTATCATCAAATTGTTTTTTAATTAAAAGATCATTAAAAAAATAATTCCACATTTTTCTTGTCACTTTTATATTTTATGCTTTTTCAGAAATAACATTTTTTTTTTGTCTTTTTCCACTGAGGTGCCATTAAAGGTTACGAGCTCAAATCTTACCAATGATTTGTACGTCAAATGAACTTACAATCAAAAGCAAAAGTTGAAGTTTACTCTTTGGATTGTTAATTCAAATGGACTTATAATCAAAAGTAAAAGTTGAAGTTACTCTTTGGATTGTTAATTAGAGTGGATTGTTAATTAAGTTTATTGTTGAAACTAAAAAAAAAATCAATTCTAATATTAAATATAGTTTAAGATTCGTGGCTTTTAATTTTTCAAAAACCTCGTTATCTTTTTGTTTTCCCTCATATACATCAATCTTCTTGATTCTCAAGTCGAGGGTGCGGAAAATCCGCTACACAAGTCGCGTCACTGCATTTCATAGGAGCTAATCCAAAATCACCTACTCGATTAATAGGTATAGCTTTTATGAAGGGATCAAGCATGGGATAACGATCAAAATCCTTATGAGTTTAGTTATCTGAAGGGAACACGCTTTTTCAACCGCGGTGGTATGATTGTCGGGGCCCTCTCACTCTAACAGCGTACCTTTTGCATGATGGGTCAGCGAGAAAATGGGAACAGCTGAACCTGGAAGTTCTCCCACTTTTCATTTTTTAGAGAAAGTATTAGTTGGTATTTTCAAACCAGGCCATCGGTTTTGCACTTTGGGATGCAGAGGAGCTATTATCGTCCAGCCTTTCCGAAGATAAGTTAGAGGCCCGTGATCTACGACCACTCTCAGGGGTCTACTGCTCCTGCTGGGTATAGAACTTAGAAGGGTACTGATCCCACTGGAGCTATATCGAAACCGAGTCTTCATGGGTGAAGCCGCTTTACCGAGTTTACGAGGTGAAGGAGCGATAACGACCCATTTTCAACAGAAAGAAGTACCCACACTTGTGTAGTGTAGATCATTCAACACATGCGGACTTTGCCAGTTCTAGGGGTTCCCCTCTTCTTTTTTGTCGATTGAGCCTGTCGCTCCATCCCCGCAGGAGCAAAGAACCCATCGATATCTCGGCAACCCCATCCTTGGCCTCAGGGAGTGGCAAGGGGGGCCACAACTTGAAAAAGAATTCCAGCATTGTCGCGTAAGGTCTTTTAGGGCCGCTGTTCGCAACCCCGACTCGGCCTCGCTAACGCGGCCCTTATTGAAAGATGTTTTGATGTAAATATTTATTTATTTTTCTTCAAACTTTTATCTTTATTTCTTTTTAAAAATATTTAGCAAAATTTTAACTTTTTCCTCTCTTTATTAGTATTATTATTTTCTTTTTTTTTTGTTATTTTCTTGCTAAAACTTGTCTCAACCTTTTTCTAATATTCGTTTTTTCAAATTTTACTACGTTTTTTTCTCTTGTTTTCTAACTTTTTTTGTTTCCAAATATTTTTTTTCTAACTTTTTTTTCTTTTTTTTCCAAATCTTTAACTATTTGCTTTTAATTTTGTTTTTCTTCTCTCTCACAATTTTTCTCGACCTCTTTCTAATTTTGGTATTTTGAAATTTACTTATAACTAAATTTTTTCTGCTAAGATTTATTTATTTTTATCAAAA